ACATTGAATATGAAATCTTGAGAAATAGAAAGGAAAATCCTCCCTCTCTCACTTAATCCACTGAATCCCCCTGAAATGAGGAGCAATCCCATATGATTATCCCAAAGCAGAATTCATCCAGTTCACTTAGCAAAGTCCTCATATTTGAATATTGACAGAGGAACGTATTTATGTTTGTCTAGTTCTTTTTCATCAAAGTTTACAATAGACAATCCCTTCTTGCTTTGCTGTCTGTTTTTCACAGATTTCTTGCCAGAACCTTTGTTTTCTCTCAGGGGTTCAAATAAGCACAAAACAGAGTACCATCATAATTTTTCTGTTGCTCCCTCTCTAGAGGGTGTTAAATATTACGGGATCACCTAAAAGAAAACTACCCACTGCCTGCTATTCTCAGTCACTTCCCAACCTCTGGTCTATTGCTTTATTTAAGGAGAAAAAGATATCAAATACCCCAGTCATTTTTAAAATTTTCCCAGAAAAAAAGAGGTTAATAAAAGAGCCAGAAAATCCCCATGTATCAAACATTCTGCTGCTTAGAGTATCTAGTTAAATAAAAGTTGAGATTCCACATGCTTGACCCACCAGTTCCCATTTACAGCTGTGAAACATGAGGCTCAGAGTTGGTGTTATTAGCAGTAGTATTACTAAAATGTTGTAACTAAACTCAAATCTTGGTCTTCAGTTTCTGGAACCTATGCTTGTTCTAACATGCACACCACATCCCTTCTGGAATAAAGATCCTCAAAAGAGAAGAAATATTGCTAATGATAAGAAAAATACCATCAAGTTCCAGATTTGACTTGTGATGACTGCTCACATCTATTGTCCTTGAGGTGTGAGGTGATCTCTACTTCAGAAGAATCCAGATAGATTGATGCTACCTGCTGTCTGCTGCCCATCTGGACCCTCCCGTGGGCTGGCTCTCTGTGCTGCCTCATCAGATACCGTCCCTGTTCCAGGGTGATTTCAAAGGCCGGCCTTCCCTTAGCACATTTATCTTCAACCCCCAGTGCACAAGCAGAGCACACACTAGACTAACTCATTTATTTCTACTCATTTATTGATGGCCTTTCATAACCAAGTTATTAAGTCATCAATAACTTCAGAGAAATAAACGAATGGATCCGGAACTGGGTCAACAGATATTTAAGACATATTCTGAACATTTTATCTAGGATCAGTATAAATGTCAATGCTGGGTCATCAGTGGTATTTTCCCCACCTGGGAAAACATATTTCACAGATGTTTTATTCTAATTAGATCCAAGCTTATTCCTCATAAAGTATTGAAATGAATAGCGTCTCCAGTCACCCACATAAAATGAAGGTTTTTAAAAAAGAGATTGCATGTGTTAATAATTTTCCAAAATACTACCTAACGTGTGTTGCTCCCATCAGCTGACCATAAATATCCCTGGAAGGTTTGCCAAAAATAGAGTATAAGCTCTTTCAGAAGTGCTTATGAGTTCTGATATATTCCCCTCGGGAAATAAAAAGGAGAGGAAAAGGAGAAAAAGAGAGGATTTCTAAGACCTTGGGAAACCCTTGAAACCAGTATCTAGAAGACTAAAGAAATTCCTAACACTAAAGTTAAGCTTCTATGGGGACATTTTCAAAGCCACTGGCAGTTCACCCAGCTGAGGGGAACCCTGCATTTTCGTTATGTTTCAGGGTATGTATACCTGCTATATCTCAGCCTGCAGGAGGAGCATTCCATTGTTCTGACCTCCCCTTTTGCACTAGTTTGCTCTCCATTTGTATCCTGGGGCCCCATCTAGATAAGAGAAATCTTGTCTGCTTAGGGCCTCAGTATTTTTGGACACCTATATGTATCCCAGTTATATCAGTTTCCTCATCTGTAAAATAGGAATAATAATAGACCACACGTCATCAAATAATTATAAGACTCTGAAGTGTTAATATATGAAAAGTATTTAGAATGGTGTCTGGCATATGGTAAGTGTTCAAGAAGTACAGCTATTACTGTTGCCATTAATAAAAAGTCTTTTCCATATGATTAGGACCTAAGAGACCAGCCAGTCCAATTTCCTCAATTCATTTTACAGACAAGGAAACTGCAGCCCAATGAAGTTACGTAGCCTATTAATAGAATGTCCGTGCTTTTGAATTAAAGGCTGAATTAGAAACCTGCAGAAAAACATTCTCTCTGGAGTCCGGCAGTCCTAGACTAAAATTCCAATTGTTACCTTCTAGTTGTGTGACTTTGAACTCACTTCTTTCCTTCTCTGGGACTCTCTAAAATCCCTATGTGCAAAATAGGTACAATGCTACCTACCTTGATAGAGTATTGTGAGAATTGAAAAATAATGACTGAAAAACTTAATGACTGGATAATGTAACTAGCATTCTGCCTGGGAGTTCATGGGCATTCAATAGCTTGGGCCCGTCATTATTAGGAACATCATTCAGCTGCAGCGCTGCAGACTGGCTACCAGAATCCCGGCCCCTGATTGCCAGTATAGCTCACCACAACACTGCCCACCCTTACATTTAAAAAAAAAAAAAAAAAAAAGGAAATTTGCTCTCATTCCTTTTTATCAGCTTTTTAAATGACTTTCTAGTCATCAGTAGATATTATCCGCTGTCAAAAATCACCTATGATTATTGATGGATAAAAATCTGTGTATCCTTATTCTTAAAGGAAAGGGTGGGAAAAAAGGCAAGTCCCCACCCTTGGCCCTGAGCTTTTCATAACTAGTTTAGCTCAACATGAGCAGTTTTGCTTTGCCAGATGAACCCCAACATGCTGTTGAGAAACAGTGGCTCAGAAACAATTTGAGGATGATGAAAAAAACGCTGTGTGCAACAGTGATTTTGCAAATCTGACACCTTTGCTCCGGTAGAAATGCTTAGAGAAAGGTATGGGGAAGGACAGAAATTGAACCGGACACCCTGGTTTCCTTTCTTGAGGAAATATGCGTAAATTCTGACTATAGATAACAAGGCATGGCACTCCAGCCCTATCAGAAAACAGAGACCTGTGGAACTCTAATGTCCAGGAAAAGATCATCAGTGTCCCACAGCAGGGATTGGGAATAGGAATGGATTCCATGACCAAATAACTTTGAGACGCACTTCCTGTTGAAGATTTGCGATGCTCATTTATAAATGAAAGAGTGAGAAGTTCTACATTTTCCTTTCTTTCATTTTAGGTTCAAGTGTACATGTGCAGGTTTGTCATATAGGTAAACTTGTGTCACAGGGGTTTGTGATATAGATTGTCTCATCTCCCAGATACTAAGTCTAGTACCACTAGTTGTTTTTTTCTGACCTCTCCCTCTTTCCACCCTCAAGTAGGCCCCAGTGTGTATTGTTTCCATCTTTGTGTCCATGTGTTCTCATCATTTAGCTTTTACTTATAAGTAAGAACATGTGGTATTTGGTTTTCTCTTCCTGCATTAGTTTAATAAGGATAATGGCCTCCAGCTCCATCTATGTTCCTGCAAAAGACATAATCTCATTCCTTTTTATGAGTGCATATTATTCCAGGGTATATATGTACCCCATTTTCTTTATCCTGTCTACCATTGATGGGCATTTAGGTTAATTCCATGTCTTTGCTATTGTGAATAGTGCTGCAATGAATGAGAAGTCCTCCATTTAAGAAACCTATTTAACATTGTAGACCCCATCCTTTCCTGAATGATTAGCACAAAATTTCCATCAACATCAAGTGAACAGTGATACACTAGGAGACACTGATAAACTACAAGGCTTGAAAAATCAAAGATCTTAAGACAATCAATGAAAAAGACAATGAAAAGTTTGGGTTTTAATTTCATTGTGAGTCTCTGCTTCAGCCATTTTAAACAAAGAATAAATGGCTGACTAAAAGCAAAGCACCCTTTGCTTTCTTGTGGGGGACAGAACAGCAGCGTCTACTGGTACACATATGTTTCAGGGGTTGAACGCAGCCTTTTGTGTCCAGCTATTTATCATTAACCAATGATGGAACTGGCTAGAAAAGGACAAAAAAATAAAAGCAAATCAATTTGAGCTCATCTAAGGGCTGTCTGTGGAGCGTCCAGTTGACTTTCATTGTCTTCCGTGGGTCGTTATATCCTCAGAAGACTATTCATATTACTACTGGACTGCAATTCATGACACAGTTTGGGCATGAAAACGGGGGGTCCAGACATAGCAACAAAGCCCACATTAAGATATATAAATGTTTTTAGTGATGAGGATAATTACAACTGATTGAAATTCTCTTAACACACAAAATGGAATACAGTAAAAATGCCACTGGATACCCTCCTTATATTTTTTTATCTGTCTCTAAAGCTCACAAAATTTTACTTTCTTTCCTTTTTTATCCACATTTCATCCTCTTCTCTCACAAAAACACCCATCAAACACTTTCTCTTCCTCTTTTGTCTTTAATTCCTTATCATCCTCTCACCCTTTATGGCCCTTGTGGGAAAGAAAAAAAAGAGATAGACAAGCACATTCAATTGTTGCAGTCTTCTCATCAGGAATGTCTATTTCAAAACTCTTCATAATCTAAGCAGAAATATATCAAAAGTCAACCAATAGCCTTTGGCAGTAATCTATCAAATAAAATGAATAAAATATAGCATAACACTTATTAGACTATTATCCTCACTTTAGCCTTGACCTTTTGGTAATCCATAAATAAATATCATCCAAATTTGACACAAGTAAACTGTAAAATTCCCACAACAGCACTATGACAGAAATGTCATTTTTATTGATGTCAAAATAGCTTTTCTTAGCTGTTTAATAAAATTGGGATTATTAAGAAAAGTAAATGTTGAAATACTCCAAAAGGGTCTCATCCACATAGCAAGATTTATGAGCTACTTTGCCTGGCAACTGCTTCACCATTTAGATGAAAATGCCTATACTTAGAAAGGTTTTTTTAAATGTAGTTAAATTTAATTTGGTTTGACATGTATTTTTATATTAAAATGTGTTTGACTATTTACCCATTGCCTTTTTTTATTGTTTCTCCCCAGGAAGCAAATAACTTGGATAAAAACACGACGAAAGCAGAGAGTGCTCGGCTCTTCAGAATGTGGTATGGCTTCGACCACAAGTATCCTTTGATAATAACGATCTCACAGATCCTGCTGCAGGCAGAGAATTACTTTAAGCTCTTAATCATTGAAGTGTGCACTCCTGCTCTTCAAGAAACACCGAAAGGTAAAGTGAATTCACAGCCAAACTTATAACAAGGAATGATTTCATAAAATAAAAAGCAGGGTAGTCCATACTTAAGTGTTTCAGAGAACTAAAGTGAAACTTCTCAGAGTCAAATTTATCTAGTGTTTTCCTGACTGTAATGCCAGTTGATAAAATCATATAGTCCTGAAGAAGCTGTTTTGCTGTTCTTCCCTTTGTAAAGCTCCTACTTCTGGTCAAATTGGTCAAATAGGCCCGCTTGATTAAGGGCATTGTATGAACAGTTTCAGCAGCCTCTGGCCAGGGTAACCCAGCCAAAGCTCCTGCACCCTTCTCCCAGGAAGCCATTGGTGTGCTTTTGTTTCATGCTGTAAAAAATGAAGGAGTGGGAAGGAGTGGGGACAGGGGACAAAAATAAATGGGCCAAGGAGATGAATCCAGTTCATCAGAGTTCATCATAAAATAGCACCGCTTTGTTTTCCAGGCAGACTTGAATGAGCTTTTTCCACTGAAGGGCAATTTTAAAAATCTGGCAATCACTGTAAACATAGTAGCTCAGATACACCTTGCAATGTGATTCGTGGGGCTAAGTCAGGCCTGAAGTGTTTTGCCATTGTGAGCTGCAGTAAGCAGTCTGTCTCTAATCCCAGGCAAAAGCTCCAAGGAAGAAAGGAAAGGACTGCACTGTAAATTGAATGTGTTGGGTCTTTATAGCTAGTTTTCCAGTCACAAATCCCTCTCCTTTCAGTGAGAAAATGTCAGTCACTGGATGATTTTAAGTGCCTAAGCAAAAATGATTAAAGCCAAACAGATCAATGGGAGAGAAGGAAGAATTAAGAATAGGGAAAGGAAATTCAAAGAATAGGTGAAGAAAAAGAGGTGAAAATGGACAGGGAGAGGAGGCAAGAGAAATATAGGAAATTCACAGCAGGAAGGAAAGGAAAGCAAATTAGAGGAATGACTGGAAAATAGAAAGCAAAAATTAAGAAAGAAGTGAAGAGAAACCAATTGAAGATTGCAGAGATAAGCAAAAGTAAAACAATGTGCGAATTAAAAAGCAATTTTGCAAAAGTAGAGCATTCCAAGAATTATGAAATGGTGATGTGGAAGATAGAGGATTTTTGAGGTTAGAGTTTGCTTTTTTTCATAGCTCTGTTACCTATGGCCAGATACCCTTTCTTGCTCAGTCTTCAGTTTTATGGACAAATGTAGGTTGCCACCATCTTGAGAGAAGTCCATCTTAGCCATCAATTATTTCTTAAAGGTTCTGGTATCTCATTAACTACCTGAAAACTTTCTGATCTCTCTAAGGGAATCTAGTTCTTAGAAAGTTATTGCTGGTTTTTGCTCCTGGTTGATCTCTCTTTGGAAGCAGAATTTGCCCCTGCCATTGCTTTTAAGTATCTGATAACCCAGTTTGTTCAAAATTATAAAAATTTGACTAAAGAGTAAACACAAAGAGATGTACAGAAAGAACTCGGTAAATCAGAAATGAGATAAAAGATGTTTTTGTTCAAATTCTGATGAAGAAAGCTTTACAATGAAGAAAAGGAATAAAGTGAAAAAAAAAAAAAAAACCTTGAAGACAAGAAAATAAAAGTTGGAGCCCATCAAAAATTTTAGCTTAGGGCAGTGACACTAAATTCAGATGATGTCATAGTTTTTGTCTCACTTTTCATTAGGGGTTTATTTCCATATGATTATAGACAGACTAGCAAAAATAAAAGCAGATTTACACTCTCAGTCATATCTCTTCTCATGGTAGTTTATCCTCCTGCACATTCATTCTAGAAATTGCTATGCTGCCACCACTACACAAATATATATTCACTTAGATAATGAAGTTTTTGTATCTTAGCTATGCTCTGAATTTATACATAGTAGCAAGCAAACAGTTTCAACTATGTGGCCTCTTAATATATCTGTTATTTTAGAGCAAATTATCCATTTGGCATTTATGTTCATTCTATTGTTCACCCAGAACCTAGGCAGTGTGTCCTGTGAACCTCATAAGTTAGGCTATGCCAGCCACCACCAGTGTAGAGATTAGCCCCTCACCCTGAGATCAGTTTGCTGGCCTGAACCAAAGAGAAATTGTCACAAGGCTGAAAGAAACTGGCTGTGTAGTTTGGAGCTGTTAAAGTTTCATTTCAGTAAAAATGAATCATGCAAATGAGGTATCACAAATAATTATTGACAAAAGAAAAAGAAGAATATGTAACTTTATACACACCTATATCAGTCAGGGTTCTCCAAATAAACAGAATCAGCAGAAGTGCTTTACATATCATATACATATAGATTTATTTTAAAGAATTGTTTATACAGTTGTGGGGGCTGGCAAGTCCAAAATTTGCAGAGCAGGCTCTCTGTCTGGAAATTCAGGCAAGAGCTAATACTGTGTAGTCCTTAAGCAGAACCCTTTCTTCCTCAGAAAAGTCTAAGTTTTGCTGTTAAGTCCATGCAACTGATTGGATGAGGCCACAAACCGTATTGAGGATAAACTCCTTTACTTAGTGTCAACTGCAGATATTAACCACATCTACAAAATACCTTGGGTGTCAACAATGACACCTAAGTTAGGGTTTAAATGAATAACTGGGTAGTCTAGCCAGGTTGAGCCATAAAACTAATAGTCACATCACCGAATTTATATTCAATTAATGCTTAATATTCAGACTCAAAGGTAGAAAACCCCTCTTAATTTACTATTGTTATCAATAAAACCAGTCACTCACATAGTTTTGTTTTTTTCTTTTTCATAGCATAAGTAGTACATACATACCGTCCCCTAAAAGTTTTCCAAAAACTACAGAATAAAAGTTATAAAACTTAACATTCAATGATGATGAACAATGCCAAGCACTGTGTTCAGTGGTTTACATTTATTACTTCATTGCACCTCCCCAGCTCTGCAGGAGGCTGGGAGGGTCTAGAGATATAACAACACAAGTGTACTACTGATTGGGTTGGCCTCTGCTGCAACAGGGGCTCCCCTGTGGGAAGGAAGCCTATGGTGCCAAAACTGATGATTAATTAAGGTTCATTATGATTCAACGTGGGCAGCAATTCCAAATTATGGAGTACAAAGAAGACACTGATAAATGGGGAGATGAGAAAGGGAACTGATGTTACTGAGTAGCGACGCTTTGCCATCAGGCATGTTATTTCATTTAGTTCTCTTCATTTAACCACTCTTTTTGTTTTATTTAATTCTTACAACCACCCTCTTTGATGTGGAGGAAACAAATTCCCAGATAACTTAAATAACTTTGTTTCTATAGCTAGTGAGGGTCAATTTCACGATTCAAGCCCAGATTAGTCTCACACTAAAGTCCATCAAGACACCTAAATAAGCTTGATTATTAACAATTCTATATCCGTGATATCTCTTACTCTACCTATAAATCCTCATGTCTCAGTATGTTCATAAATTCACCATTAAAACAATGAATAATTAGGACTCCTTACATGATACAGTCCAGAGCTCACATCTTGAACATTTATTGGCAATATATTGGTGTGATAACAAGGTTACAGGTTTTTGTCGGTCACCCAGAAAGCACCACCATGAAGGAGTCCCCAACTTCTGAATCAGATCCTCAACTTTTTAGGGGCAGAAAGTTAAATATTCAAAGACTCCAAGAGTGGTTCAGTCTGACAAAAGATGAACTCACTGTAGCCAAGCTCAAAGGAGGCAGTAGTACATACCAGACACCAAATTCCTAAATTGCCAAATCCCCATCGTGGAGGGGAGGTATGGGCAGGGGGAGATACTCTTCAGCCATAAGAAGGCTCAAGTCACAGTCTTGTCCCTAGAGCCCCTCCTATCCTACTCTTTCCCCCTGGCTCACTCTGCTTCAGCTACCCTGTCCTTCCTCAGGCACACCAAGCACACTTCTGCACCCAGGCCCTTGCACTGGCTCTTCCCTCAGGCATTTGCTTGCTTCCTTCTTTACCTCTTTCATTCAGCTTGTCGGTGAGACCTTCCTGGCTGTATATCTAAATGTCTAACAGGAGCTAACTCTCTCACTCCTTCCTGCTTTATTTTTTTCACCATAACACTTAACCACCATCTCATACAGAATGGACTTTGTTTTAATAGTTTCCTGCAACCAGGATATGTGCCTTCCATAGAAATTGGGTCTGTTTTCATTCCCTGGTATGTCATCAGGGCATAGAAAAATTCCTGGCAGGGAGTGAACACTCAATAAATATTTGTTGAAGGAATGAATGAATCAATTAAGCAAGCAAGCAATATTTTCTATCCAGGGCACCTTCATTTCAGGCATTGATATAGCAGGAAAATCCAATTAATTATGAGAAGGCTGCTAAGTGAGTCTGAAAGCAGAGCAAGAAAGAGTGGATAATATTAATGTTTTCATCCAGGCTACCCTGTGTAGACCCCCAGCCTAAGTGTCTCACTCCCTAGACAGGAACGGCCACTCACAGCAGACTTAAATCCCTATTGCTTGAGCTGACCTCCTTCCTATGGTTGGTCCCTCCTTTGTTAGGTTTGATTAGTACAACGATCTGGCACATTCAAGCCTAGCTCTGGCTTAGAAGCCCTTCTCTGAGTGACGTTGAATACATATGTCTTATGTCACCAATCATGTTGATTTTATTATAACAAACTCAAAATTGTAAAGCCACCTATCATCCTCACTAGCAATCTCTTATAATGAGGAAGCAAGAAGAAGAAATCGATGCCCCCTTATTCGTATTTTAAGACATCAGATAAAACTATTTGCATGGATTCGCAGTGTTACAGCTGGTATGAGAACCTCATGTTGCCTTATTCATAGGTGACTAATGATGTTGCTTGACTATCTCCTTTCTAGAGTCTCTTTCCATTCTCTCATTTACCATCTCTCCCCTTAAACATGTGTATAAATTAGCCCTACAAATGTGAAT